TTAAAGGAGAACCTATTTCTGCCATTTTAGGTGGAGAATTGAGGATTAAAGTATATGTATAGGTAATTATTTTTAATATTGGGTAGGATAAGGAAGGGTTAGAAGTTAGAACCATCTTTGTATTGCTGGCTGTGTCCCAAATGGCAAGATTCCACCCTTTGTTGGCGATTACTGTTACTTAGAGAGAAAAAAAATGTTAGAGTTGTCACCAGGTAAGGGAAAATCCTCCAATAGGGACACCTGTTTCTTTAACAACTCCCTAAGATGACAGTTTCATTCACTTTGAAAGGATTTCAAATGTGTCAGGTCAAAAAGTGAATGGAAATTTCTTCAATGGGACACATCTACAAAAAAGCTTTTAGAGGCTGTATCTCTTCACTACTCAATTTAAAATGAAAAAAAAAAGTTTTGACTTTACGTGCACTTTAAGACTTGTAAAAACACATTCCAAAATTCAGGTAACCATAGGAATGAGTTTTGGGACGGTTTCGAGCATGGGTTTGAGTTAAACCCAGCTCATACGCAGCTCATGAATACACCAAACTAATGCAACTACATAATTACCAATATTGCACTTCCTGGCCTTTGAACTCTATGCAGTTGGCTTAGAAGTGCCATTAAGGAAATATATGTATAAGGAGATATATGTATAAGCCAGCCTCCTCACTATAAAAGCTCATTTTATAAGGAGGTGCTGTTGCTAAATGCAGATGGACATATAAACGTCTCTTACAAAAAAAGATGTGAACCATTATCATAAACCTTAATGTGCTGTGGGTAGAAAAATTATGTTTATCTTGGGGAATTTGGGGGTGGTGGGTGGGAAGCATCTTAGGCTTCATTCACATCTGAGCATAGTGTTTTTGACGCGTTTTGTCACGCGTTTTTATGCGCGTTTGCAAATGTTTGTGCGCAATTTGTACCGGCTTTTTTAGGCTTTTTGAGTTCTGGCATTTTTGTATTAGCCAATAGAGAAAAATTTAATCTGTATCACCAATTGTTGACATGTTTTGCCATGCCTGAAAAATGCTCTTGGTCACTTGCAAAAGTGCATGAAAAGTGCGCAATTTGAACGATTCCATGTATGTCAATGGGAATGAAAACTGAATGAAGCTACAAAAACTTATTGAGCTTCAGGCATTCTGCTTCAGGCGAATTAGAGTGGAGATGTGAACCATCTCCATACAGTAATATTGATTTTTTTTTTTTCTCTAAGCATTTTGGAGCTTCGAGCTTCGTGCTACAAAACATGCAGGTATAACTGGGGCCTCAATGCTGCTGATGTGTCTGCTACAGTGTACTTACAGTCATAACAGGATGAATGTGTTTTTTTTTTCACACAGCGTATTTCCTATTTTTTTGCTACACTTCACTGATAACCTCCTGCATGTGTTTTTTCACAGGGCGTATTTCCTAATTGTTTCTGACAACAATTTTTTAAATTTAAAAGATAATGTGCATTAGCACAAAAGATTATTTTTTTCTTTTGGGAAAGCATGTGCATGATTATTTACAGGCAGTAGATTGTGTGAGATAGAGACAGAGCAATGTCACCTTCTATCAGTAGCACCAGCTGTTAAAGCTTATATGAGATTTTAGTGATTGGGTTTACCTTTTTATCTTTAGTGATTTGGTTTATCTTTTTTAACAAACTATGCTTGAGTTATCTGAATTGCAGTTTTGATGTATATTTTCATATGTGCCCTTCCTATGTGCACAAATCTGTGCACCCAAAAATCCTTTTAAGACTCCATGCACACTGAGCATTTTAATAACGCTGGTAACGTTAGCTGTTTAAATTCACGTTAAAAATGTGAATTTTTCAGCAGTTTTTTAGCATTTTTGCATTAGCGTTTAGCAGCCTTTTGCCACGTTTTTTCACGTTTGCGTCTTTTAGAGTTTTTTAACCCAAAAAATTTTTTTGCTCAAACAAAACGGCCACAAACGCCAGTTTGACACGTTTTACCATGATTGCCGCGTTAGAGCATTTTTACAGCTAAAAAACCCCTCTAGAAACCCACTAGTTCTGGGGGGTTTTTCCACCCAAAAAACGCCCCTGCAAAAAAATGTTGATAACATGCTGGGGACTTTACTGGCTGTAGTAAAAAACACCAAAAGCAAAAAACAGCAGCTGTAAGGTGGGCTGGCACCGTCACCCCTGGGCTGGCCATGCCCGCTCACAGTGACAACCAATCAGCATTGGAGAAATGGCCACTTGACTTCCTGTCTCTCACTGATTGGCAGTCCCAGGCAGGGGGAGGACATAGAGGAAGGGCAGAGGATCGCAGGGAGCAAGGGGGAAGAATCTAATAGTTAACACACTGTAATAGATGGCCCGACCACCGTGGCGGTCCATGACAAAATAGACCTATCCGTGACAAAACTCATTTTTCGTGAGTCAGCCCGGAACAAGGACTGTCTGTAACAAATGTCAAAAATCTAAAATCTGTGAGTGTCCCGGGCATTTCAGGACTGTTGGCAACTATGCTGTACATCTAGCACTAAAGGCAATAGTTTGTTTGGACCAACTTGGTCCAAACAAACTGTTTAAACCTCACTAAAAGCTGGAGATCAGGTTTAAAAATTAATTCCAGGTATGGATATTTTATACAGCACATAATTGCATTTGTCCAGCTTGGACCAATGTAACTATGTATATACCATTCCTGAGTGATCCTCCTAGAAGCTGGAAATCACTGAAGAAGACACCGCTAGTCCTGTGATTTCCAAATGCTTCTGGGTCCCATGCCAAGAAGCTGCCTTGCTGCATTCTGGACATAATGCTCCATGCACACTGAGCATTTTAATAACGCTGGTAACGTTAGCTGTTTAAATTCACGTTAAAAATGTGAATTTTTCAGCAGTTTTTAGCATTTTTGCATTAGCGTTTAGCAGCCTTTTGCCACGTTTTTTCACGTTTGCGTCTTTTAGAGTTTTTTAAACCCAAAAAATTTTTTTGCTCAAACAAAACGGCCACAAACGCCAGTTTGACACGTTTTACCATGATTGCCGCGTTAGAGCATTTTTACAGCTAAAAAACCCCTCTAGAAACCCACTAGTTCTGGGGGGTTTTTCCACCCAAAAAACGCCCCTGCAAAAAAAATGTTGATAACATGCTGGGGACTTTACTGGCTGTAGTAAAAAACACCAAAAGCAAAAAACAGCAGCTGTAAAAACGTCCAGTGTTCATGAGGACTAAGGCACAACTTCTATCTGCTACGACTGATAGCTATATCTTCATTAATCATCACCTTAGCTACTTTTCATTTGTATCTTTTGAAAGAGAAGTAAATAAGTGTAAGTACAGCGTGCATCTAAACCACTCACATTCATTGCACTCCCTATACCCATGAATGATGAAATTTAGGTGTGCATTGCTTAGACCTATTATCCATAATTTAAAAAACTGTCCTGCTGCTGGCTTCTTTTACACTGCTATATCCTTTGTGCTATCTTAATTCTTCTGGACCAGCGTTTGGCTTTCAGCACTATCAAAGGATATGTTTCTGTTATTTCTTTTAGATACCATTGGCCTCTAACTCCTTGATAAAGACCTAATCTGATTCTCTCTCAATGTCAGAAACTGCCTTTTTTATCATTAAAGACATTACGCTTTAAAGTGTTACTAAACCCAGGACCCTGCATTCACTATCTGGTCTCCCACAGTACACACAACATGGTAATTATTTTAGTAAATATAAACTGCTAAATAACTTTTCGCATCAGCAGTTAGAGCAGTCTTGTGACTTCAGCAGATCACTGGTTAAAGCTTGTAGGAGGAGTTTTCTTTCTGGTCTTGGAGGATGTGAAACCTCACACCCTCTGTCTGGACAGTGCTGATTGGCCCTGTGCTGATCACATGCACCCTCCCAAGAAAAAAAAAAAAACCTCTCTAGCAATACACACCAAACTGAGCATGTGCATGTGACCACGAGTTCAGTCTGTATCGGGTGGACATTTCAACAAGAGGAGGGGCAGAGAAGAAAGGATCAAACAGCCTTTTTACACAATGCAGAGGATTAACCCCTTAGGTTCCACAGTGAGTATAACAAGCATGCCTTACTGCATATACAGACTGATTTTACTGTTGTGGGTTTAGTAACACTTTAAGGCCAGTGTCTGAGCTGGTGGCCTTGCAAGAAACCCATTTATTATTTTTGCATAGGGGCATGGTGGGGTTTAGGGCTAACACTTCCTTAAAAAAAAAAAATAACCCAGTTAGCAATGTCATCCCTGCTCATATTTACTTCACCAGAGCAAGGATAGCTTCAGTGAAAAAAGTGAAAAAAATACTAATACTTTTTCTGCTGCCCGCCCTTCCCCTGGCCTCCCTCTATTTGGTTCTGCCAACCCTTTCTTCTGCATTGTGGAAGAGTAGGCAGCTTCCTATTTTTGCACAGGGACAGGGGGTGTTCTAGAGTTAAGGCTTTCTTTTTTTTTTTTGGCAAAGACAGTACCTAGTTTGCATTTTTGTCCATGTGCATGGTTGTTTCACCAGGGCAGGGATGGCCTAACAAGGAAGAAAATTCAATATTTAACCACTTCCTGTCTGGCCCATGTACATAAACAGCCGGACGGGAGCAGTGCAAGAGCGGGTGGTCGTTTATAAATGTCCTCCCGCATTCCCTGTCTGTACGTGCTCCTTGGGAGCATGCAGCACCGCAATCCGGTGCCCGCTATGTCCAGAGAACACAAATCACTGTACTTCCCGATCATGTGATCACTGATTGGCCAATCAGTGATCAAATGAATAGTAGTAAGCAAGATGTCACTTCCTGACATCATTGCTTACTACTAGTGAAATCTGTGAATGATCACAGAAGTGACATGGTACAAGGATATTCACAACAGCCTTGTACCATATGACAAGCAGTGCCCAATCACAGCTCTCACAGTATTTCTCAATGGCTGCAAGGGTGTAAAAGCAATCAGTGTAAAAAAAAAAAAATCTTCATCACCCCCCACAAATAGCACAGTGTCACTCTGGTGACACTGTACTACTAGGATGACAGTATGTTAAAAAAAACACATAAATAATAATATAAAAAAAATAAAATAAACATGAAACAAACATTTTTAAAAATTATAATTTTTGGTTCATAAACTAATTTGGATTGTTTTTTTTTTTGCACTGAAAAGATACCAGAATACATTTTGGGCAAGATTTATGAAGAAAGATTATTTATTTGCTAAATTTTATAAGAAAAACACTTTTTTTCAAAATGTTTGGACTTTTTCATTTATATAGCAAAAAAAAAATAAAAATCCCGTTGGTGAATAAATACCACCAAAATAAAGTTTTATCTGTATCAAAAAAATGCAAAAAAGTTCATATGGGTACAGTGTTGCATGACCGCGCAATTGTCATTCAAAGTGTGATAGCACTGAAAGCTGAAAATTGGCCTGGAAAGGAAGGGGTAAAAGTGTATGGACTTGAAGTGGTTAATTAAAACGCATTAAAAAAATCTGTGTAAATATGTAAATAATAAAATATGTTAAATAGCAGTATATAGCAGTCAAAAACAGAGCATACCTTTCAGTTTATGACAACTGATACCACAATCCAGGCTGCCTCTCTGATTTGGCATTTAACTGCCAAAGCAAGATTTGAGGAAGGAAATGCAGCTTACGGCTGTAGGATTTTTTTTTATTGCTGCCTGCTCTTGTATCTGCTTGTATAATTTCCCCCATCTTATTTGTTGCTGCCTGCACTTCCTCCTGTGTTGTGCAAGGGTGTGCAGACTTTGGTATTTTTGAATCGGGTGATATATAGACCTAGGACCTTTTTATAAAGATGGTACCCAGTTTGTATTGCAGTGCCTGCCTGTTTTATGCTTTATCAGGGCAGGGACAGCTTTGCAAAGACAATAAAGAAACATGCGAAAATCAAATAACTAAATACATAAACAGTTTGTAAATATTTAAATAATAAAATATGTAAAAAAAAAAAAGTAAATGCCTGCCAGTAAATTGGGCCTAGCTTTGTTATTAAAAAAAGTATCCCACTGCTTGCTAGTTTTCCACATCTATGTCATCCGCAGTCGCTTAACCACTTGACCTCCAGAGGATTTACCACCTTAATGACCAGGCCTCTTTTTGCTACTCGGCACTGCACTAATTCAACTGATAATTGCGCGGTCTTGCAATGCTGCACCCAAACAAAATTTATGTCCTTTTTTTCACACAAATAGAGCTTTCTTTCGGTGGTATTTGATCACCTGTGCACTTTTTATTTTTCACGCTATAAACAAAAAAAGGCCAAAAAATTTGAAGAAAAACAATATTTTTTACTTTCAGCTATAAAAAATATATAGTAAACTCAAAGTTGGTTATAAATTTAGGCCAAAATGTATTCTGCTACATGTTTTTGGTAAAAAAAATCCAAATAAGTGTATATTGATTGCTTTGTGTGACAGTTATAGCGTCTACAAACTATGGTATAGATACTGCAATTTATGCCATTTTTTTGCTATACAGCGCTGCGTTAGTTTAACAGACAATTGTGTGGTCATGCAATACGGTACATAAATGAAATTTACATCCTTTTTTTCCCCACAAATTGAGCTTTCTTTTGGTGGTATTTGATCGCCTGTGCAGTTTTTATTTTTTGCGCTATAAAAAAAAAGGCTGACAATTTTGAGGAAAAAAAAAAAAACAATATTTTGGACTTTTTGCTATAAAACTTGTCCAGTAAAAAAAAAATTCAAAATCAAATTTAGTCATACATTTCAGCCAAAATGCATTCTGCAACATGTCTTTGCTAAAAAAAAAAACCCAATACGTGTAAATTAATTGGTTTACGTGAAAGTTATAGCGTTTACAAATGGTGGGAAAGATACTGGGATTTTTAGGGTTTTTTTATACTAATAATGGCGGCGATCAGCGACTTATGGCGGCGATCAGTGACTTATGGCGGCGATCAGCAACTTATGGCGGGACTGCAGCGGACATTCTGACATTGGGGGGTACTGACTTGGGGTCACTGACATCCCCAGTGACACCAATACAATGATCAGTGCAAAAAAAAAAAACACTGACACTGTACTAATGGCACTGGGGAGGAAGGGGTTAAGTTTATTATTCAGGGAAAGGGTTAACTGTGTGAGGGGAGTGTTTTTACTAGGGGGCGGGGGTGTGTACTGCAGGGAACACCTCTGATCGGGACGGAGAAACTCTTCTGTCCCGATCAGCGTGTCCTGGAACTGTCAGGGAACTGACAGAAAGCACAGCTACTGCAGCTGTGCTCTCTGTCAGCGATTGCCGCCGATCGCCGGGACATAGCCAGTAACGACCGGCTGTGACCCGGCGACTGACATCCGCGGCTGTGATCGGCGGGACAGGAAGGGCGGCGGCGCGCCTCGCGCGCGCCCCCTACCTGTTTACAAAACACACATTTTAAAACGTGCTTTTGCCCAGCCGTACCTCCCTGCTGCCGTATTTCTACAGTGGCTGGGTGGCATGTGGTTAATTCTTGTAGGTAAGCCTGTAGTCTTTCTCAGGTACATTATAGACAATCTGACTGTCCAGTTAGTTGCCTTTTCAAAATATCATTAAAAAGTTTTCATTATAGTTACTGATATGTAAGCAGGTATTTTGATGTCTGTCTCACTTCAATGGTATATTTTTATCTTTTGTCTCTATAGAAGTACGTGAAGTTAAATACCACAGGTCTAGTTTTCTCTACATCTGATTGATCTGATTGACAGGAAAAACATATTCACACATGTTTACTAACCATACTAATTGTGTGAATTCAGTAATGATTAGCATAGGAATGCAAAACAGAAAGGACCCTGAGCTTCTGTTGATAAAGTCTTATCATGTTTGTGAATACAAATATATATCCTATGGTTTTTTTTTTTTTTTAGAAGGGGTGATACTTTTAAGATTGTGGGTATAAACTGAAGTACCTGTAAGAAAACTATGCATACACAAGGAACAAAATACAAACTCCAGATAGTGTCCCCGGTGTGACAGTTACCTAGCTAAACTCTTCCCCCAACGACTGACATGCACTCCAATACTCATCATTCCTCTGACCTCTTCATACTACTTTGAGATGTAGTGATACTGATAAGAACAGTGAGATCTATCCCATGACATCCATAGCAGTATATACTGTATGTACCTCATTAAATTGTGCAAGTAACAAGTAATTAACAGAAAAACAATCTTGTGTGTGTAGCACTACCCCCTTAGGAGTTGCTGAAGATTTGGGTGCCCCTATGGTCCTGCACAGCCAGGCAACATGCATTTTTCCACAGACTTGCATTACAAAGACATCAAACAGTCCTTGAGCTTGGGTTTTTTTTAAGTTTTATTAGGTAAATTGAACTTAGATGGGTTAAGGAGTGTATGAGATGCCCAAGGGAACTGCAAACTGAGGTTGACTTGCTAGCAACTATATACAAGTCTTTTTATAGCAAAACATTCTTTATGTGAGAGCTCTCCAACCTCTCCTAGTGTACCACCCAAGACCGCAGATGAATGCTTTTCTCATCCAGCTATCTGGAGGAAATCCCTGGGGAAGGGGATCCAGTGTCTACCATTTTAAGTTGAGACTGTCCTGGGTAAGGAGCTAGTCAGGTTTCCCACCAGAATGCCCTTTCTCCTTAACTGGCCCAGGAGGTGTAGGATTACTCACTCTTCCTCTCCTGTGTGCTTGTTGAGTTGGCGGCTGTATTTAGGACTTCTGCTGTGCTGGCTCCTTCCCTTCTGCACAAGTGGTCCTCTCTCAGGGCACTCCAGAGGTTGAGTGATCCTCCTTTCCAGCAACTCTGCCTGGAGGTAAGCCTTTTCCCACTGGGCTCCATCCCAGGCTCCTTCATCTCAGCCTTCCTCACACCTGAACTCTCCTGCCTCTGAGCAGACTCAGTCACTCTAAAGGGCTGTTCTGACCCCATGCCAAGTCTCCTGCCCAGAGATTGACCAGGATCCCTCAAGTGTGCAGGTCAGCTCCTCCTCACCCCCCACCCACTTAGTTCTAGAGACTTCTCCAAGTCTCTAGATCAGGGGGAGGCATCAGGAAACCAACCTGCAGATACTCTCAGGTTTGACTCCTCTGACTACTTCCCCAGGCTGCTACTCAGCCTTTCTATCTAAGAAATAGCAACTAGCTCCCCTAGCTAACTAGGAGGGTGCAACATGTAATGCCACTTAATAAGTACTTGCATGTGATTGGGAGGTGGGGGGGGTAAAGACCTTGTTAAAAAGGTGTAAGAAATAACATATATTGGATTGATCATTTTCGTTTCTGCTTGTACTGCAATAAAAAAAAATTAAAAATGTATAAATTATAACTTTATGGATTCATGTTCAGGCCCAACCCATACGTATTCTAAGCTCAGGAATATAGACAATCAATTTCCTACTAACTTTCACTTAGTGGCCATATTTAGAATATTTCATAACAAACGTCTACATAAACAAAGACCTTTAATGGCTTTGTATGTAGAAAGACTTCATCCGTATGTTGTTCCTTCAAAAACACAGGGCACAAGCTTGTGACATTTAACATAATCCGTTTTTCTTTTCGTGTAGCTGTGTCTTACATGAATACCATTAGACTTAATTGTGAGGAATTTCCAGACTGTGTTCGGCCTGCTAATGTTTCTCATGTTCACACACTATAACCATTCATGAGGGGCTGACATAGGCCAGACATTATTTCCTACAGTCTTTTGCCTCTCTTCTGTTTCTGCTAATCTGTATTTACACAAAAAAAGTCAGCCAGGTTTAATTCCCATTTGTCAACAATTTCCCAGGAAATTCTCACTTTATAAATCAAATTATTCCTCTTTTGGTATTTACTTAAAATATCGTCACCTTCCGTGTTCTATTATTGTTGGCGTCCAGGCTTAAACAACTCATCTTTGAGGACCTTACCAGAGTGCCGAGCTCATGACAACATTCCACACTGGTGTTTGTTCCAAACTTTGTTTAAAAGGATTTAGTGATTTTTACAACAGCATTTCAAGATCTTTTAAAACTGTTTTCTTTGTTTGTTTTGCCAACGTTCAAATATCTTTTGCAGTGTCTGCTCTAAATTTAGCTTTCCCATATTACTTGTTCAGAATGCTGCAAGCAGATGTCCATTGAATTTACTCATGATCTGTATATCATTTACATGTACTTTTTGGATAAACGTGAAAAAAAAGAGAAATTTGCAGTGTTGAAATATTAGGGCCTTTTGCTGAAAAACCCCTCTCTTGAAACTCCTGCATCACCCGTATTTTATATCTGTTAATGTGCTAAGATAGTGCACATTGTGAAGGTTAAAACATTGATGATGCAACCTTTAGCCCATTCTGATAAAAAATAAAAAAAAGTTTTGGGAAGTTGACACACAGCACAAACAGAACTTACTTTGCATGTGAACGTTTTGTATTGTTCATTGTCTAACTACATGCATGCTTTTCTAGTTACAAATTGATTGCCTGGA